CCCCCCCCCCCCCCCCCCCCCGTCCCTTACAAATACGGAGTATATGCTTAATATTTCTTTAGTCCTTGTTCTTTTGGGTTGAAATTTTGGAGTTGGTTGTTAAAAGAAATTGGAAGGAGTTGAAAATGTTGGAAAAATTTAACTATTAAAAAATCACTCAATTAAATGATTATCTAAATAAATATGTAAGAAAACTCTAATTTTGTATAAAAAAGAATTTATCATTGTCCGTGTTTGAGGTAGTATGTTGTAAATTTGAATATATAATGTAATTTTATATTAACCATATATAATTACCTTTGTAAGTCGTTGTTGGAAGAAACTTGAAAAAATTGGAAAGAACTGCAAGGAGTTGGAAGAAATTAGAAAGAATTAGAATAAATTAGAAGTAGATTTTTCTAACCCAAAAAAAAGCATGGTTAATTTTATACATATCAGCCTGTTTATAACTTTGTTTTTGTCAACTTCAATAAAATTCTAAAAATAAATTTTACGTTCTTTCAAATGACATTTTTAATTTTAAATTATGAGACTTCAAAAACTAGAATTGAAATCTAAGATTTCAAATAAATTATTGTTCTCAAACATTACTTAAAAGGACCGTGCTACAGTGCACCCACCATTGCCTCCTTTGATGCCTCCCTATTTAACATGTTTTTTACCTTTTCTCTTTCTTTTTTTCTTTTGTTCTTTTCTCTACGTCGCTGCCTGGCGCCTCTGCTCTTCCGCGCCAGCCAGCCGCACGACTCTCCTCTTCCTTTTCTGCGCTCTCCTTCCTACAAGGCAGGTAATATCTTCTTTTTCTTATCTTCCTCTTCATATCTCTGATGCGCCAACCCCTGTAGCACGACCATCCCTCTGTCAATCTCTTCTCTTCATTCCATTTTTAGTCAATTTCTATAGCAATAATTTTTTGGATTTTTGTGGAGTACATAGGGTATTTGGTGATTATGGACTTACAAACATATATTGTTACACATGTTGAGAATGATCAACTACATGATTTTGGTGGTGAAGAAGAAGATCTGGTTTTATATGATTTGCAGCCTAGTTGTAAGTGTTGATATTTAGACCTCATTCTATATTCATTTGAATTAGTGAAAAAATACTATTTTGTTTTGGTGTTACAAAGATTAAAGTTCTGTGAACCTAGGGTTTGTCCTTGTCACAGATGCTAATAATCTGTATGCACTCTGTATTTGGTGTATTTTTGTTTTCTTCATAGTCAGGCATTGTACTATATTAAAGGTGCTGTTTTTTTGCAGAGAAAAACCTGAAACCGAAAGAAGGTAGAAAAAATGATAAGCTACCTAATAAGAGGAAGAAAATGGATGCGTCTGAGATCTTTGCATCACGACGTCTGAGAGCTTGGCATTTCACTACATTGACTTTTAATTGTCCATTTTTGGCATTAGATCTAGAACTTTGCTCTCATTTTTGGATTGAGCATGGGAACTGTAAATCACATAGCTTTTTGCTTTTTGTGTAAAGTATGTAACAAATATGATAACTTTCTCTGAGTTCCATGCATATAAACTGATGTAAACCTGATGTAACTCTGTTTTCACATACATTAAGTCTCTGTGAAGTGTGTGAAATAGACAGTTATTCCATGTGAGCCCGCTGAATTTAATGTATGTGTTTTAACTTTCTTTTTACCTTTACAAGACCCCCACATATGTGATAAGATTCTGAAGATGGTGTATGTACATAAAGTTATGTAACTCTGTCGTCACATACATTAAATCTCTGTGAAATGGATAAAATAGACAGTTATTCTCTGTGAGGGCTCTGATAGTAAAACTTTAAATCAGTCATAAACTAATGTAAATCAGTCATCCCATACATTAACACATTGTGCGTTAACAAGTACAAATTCATGATTATAAAAGCCCCATTACAAAGCTTTCAAAAAAGCCTAAAGTGTTTCCCCAAAAAAATACATTACAAAGCACATAAACCATTACAAAGAGTTTCACAAAAATTAAAGACCCCTAAAATTGTAAAGTAAAAATGCTAAATATTGGGTGTTTTCCTTCCACGCCGTGACCTAGCTGCAAATTGACATCGGAAATCAGCCATGTGTTCAGAACTGCAGTCCGGGCTTAATGGTAAGGCTAGCAACAAATACTCTAGAAATGCTAGCATCATCACTCCACAATTGCCATACCTGCAAGGGAAAATAGTATTAAAATAAATAGGGAGTATGATTTTCACCACTCCATGGGAGTACCATAACAAAATGTCTCCCATCTCCATTCACGGGCAAGAAAATCTACGCATCAAGGGAGAAAAAAAGAGCTTACTGTCTATTTTACAAAACACACAGACAGTTTATGTATGTGAAGAGAGATTCACATGAGTTTAAGTGCATGGAAGTCTAAAGAAACATATTACCTTTTCAACGCCAGACCAATCAAACTTGCTTAAGAACTTATCCTTAGACCAAACTCTTTCATCGGCATTCATACGTAGTAAGTGGTTCTATACAAAATAAACATAAGACTTTTGAACATATCCTTATCTTTAGCACAATCAAAATTTAAGAAAAATGGCCTTACCACAAACACTGGTCCAACAACAGTGAAGTTCTTGCACTCTATTCCATTGAGAACTTCCATCATATTGTCCATAATAGCCTCCAGATGCTTAACATATAACATAAACCAGTTATTAAATGTCAAGATATGGAAATTAATTTAACCAATAAAGCTTACTAACATCATTGCTTAACCATTTTTCCTGATCTACAAGATCACGGAAGAAGTCTCGATTGACGTGGCCAACACCTTTGGACTGTAGTTCAATTGTCGTGGGAAACAATTCATAGAAAGTAAGCAAAAATAACAAGCAAATCTCTTTCATAGACAATAATGTTATATGAAGTTCAAATAACAGAACTTAACCATCTATGCCATACAATTCACACAGTAAGCAGAAATAACAAGCAAACCTATTTCGCAGACAATAATTTTATATGAAGTTCAAATAATAGAAGTTAATCATCTATATCATTCAAAATAAAACCTCTTTTATGTTTGAATGGCTTTTATATCAATTTTAGAAACATTTAGATCATTCAAAGAAACTCGGAATACCTAGTTTCAATGAAAAAGAACATCAAACTGAAACTGCATTATGGAGATCTGAAATTACACAAACATACCATTATCAATTCCACAACTACATTAGCGTCAGTACCTGTTCGGGCTTATGCAGGTCTGCCGGCGCTGGAGCTGGAGGGGTGGGGCTGCCGGCACTGGAGCTTGAGGGGTGGGGCTGCCGGCGCTGGAGCTTGAGGGGTGGGGCTGCCGGTGCTGGAGTTGGAGGGCTGGACTGCCGTAGACTTCCTCGCAGATGCCGGCTTCGAGACTGGCCAGCCGCAGACCTGCGCTGGAGCTGGAGGAGTGGCACTGCCGGCAATGCTATGCTCTCGACGGAGAAAAAGGACGTTGAATTGGAGTTGTCCGAATTCTGGAGCTTGTAGATGTTGAAGCGGGAGAAGGGAGATTTGGGAATTTTGGCCGTGGGAGACGAAAAGCCTAAGAAAAAAGGAAAATTGAAAAAAAATAAAATTTAAATATATTGGGTGGCATGCTTGGAGGCACACCTGGTGCTTCTTTAGCATTTTCCTACTTAAAATTAAGCAATGCCATTGGACTCAAAAGTCATGTACGGAGTAACTCATAGCCCTAATTGCCTAGAATAATTGGGCGGGGTACTGTTTCCCTCAGCCGTTACCTGATTGGTACCAGAGAATGAATGAAGCTATGAAGAAGATCTTGTCACATTGACTTGAAAGCCACCCGAGAAACTCACAAATCCACTCACGTTTTGCAGATAAAGGATTCACATCTTCAATCCATGCTTTATAAATTCAAACCTCTCTCAGTTTGATTATGTATTCCACCTCTGTCACTCCATGGCAGAACTGCTGCTACTGTCCAATTCCCACCCAGATTACCTCTCCAAACTCTCTTCATTTCCCTAAGAAACCCATCCGCCTCACTCTCAGCACCGCCGCCTCCTCCGTCGCCGCCACTCACAGCTGCTGCACGGAGCGCGGAGAGCAAAAACACATCCGGAATTCTGAAGACCCGGGTCGAGAAAGCCTGGTGTCTCATCAAGATTGCCTCTTTTCCGTGGATGAGCAAGATATACCCCGCGAAGAAGACAACAGGGAACCGGAAGAGAGATTCAGGAATCCCTTGGCCGTTTTGGCAAGCATGTGGTGGGCAGGAGTGAAAGCTGCATTGGGGCAGAGGATTAATGTGGAGGGTGTTGTTTCTTCTCTTGGGATTTTTGCCAAGGACAAGTATTTGGTGATCCCACATATATCTGTGCCGGATGTAAGGTACATTGATTGGGCTGAGCTGAAGAGAAGGGGCTTTGAAGGAGTGGTCTTTGATAAGGACAACAGCATCACTGCTCCTTACTCTTTGCGCTTGTGGCCGCCTTTGAGATCATCCATAGACCAATGCAAAGCTCTGTTCGGCGACAACATTGCGGTTTTAAGTAACTCTGCTGGTGATTTCTTACCCACATCTTTTTGGTACTTTTGTATTGGCAGTTGGTTCTGCAAATTCTTTTAATCTCATAGCACATGTGCCTTCTAATTGTAGGACTTATAGAATATGACCATGGCTTCAGAAATGCAAGGATTCTTGAGCGTGCTATTGGAATTAAAGTAATCAGACACAGTAAGTTCTTAGGACCTCTACCTGTCAAAGTTAGTAAAGATTGATATTTCAGCTTTCTACCTTGTGTGGACAGCCTGGAATGATAGTATTAGCATTGAATTTCAACTTGCTTCTCTCTGTCCAATATGAACTTTAGAGGTGAAGAAGCCAGCTGGAACAGCTGAAGAAATTGAAAGGCTGTTTGGCTGTGAATCGTCAAAGCTTATCATGGTAAGTATAAACTTTTGTTTTGAAAGAAATATATTCACATCCATGCCTTCTTTGAATAAATTAAATGTCCTGCAGGTAGGTGATCGGCCTTTCACAGACATCGTGTATGGAAACCGAAACGGTTTCCTAACCGTTTTGACTGAGCCATTGAGTCTTGCTGAGGAACCTTTCATTGTAAAACAGGTTTTTGCATATTTTTACTTCTCGCATTTTATAGTCATATTTGGATGAAGGAATTTTCTCCTTGCACTATGTGGCTCTGACTATTTCATATTTATATCTGCAATCCCTGGATACCTATAGGTTCCAGACTTGCAGCTAAGATTTTTAAAAATTAGTGAATTAAGTTTTTACATTTCTCTACTGTTCGGACTCTATTCCACTGTGGCACTGTGCTGGCTTAGTTGTCGTACTTTGCAGCTGAGAGCCTTACCTAATTTGAATCAGATGAGTGTAAGTTGATTGCCTAAAAGATGCAATTGGTTTTGCCAATGTTCAACATCAAGGTTAATACTATTACTTTTTAACTAAATATGTTAGCCTTGACACAGAAAAAACAGGCCATGGACTGACCGTGAATCAAACCACGAGGAAGGCACTAAATCACTTACTCAGCTCCCTGGCTATGTAAGAAGGATTTATTGAGTTGTCTGACTAGTCTCATAAAGAAGGTCTATCTGTTTCTATGAGAGGATGATCATTACATTAGTCGCTAGATAAATGTGATATTAGTAATAAAAGTAAATAATGATGAACAGATTCAATTATCCGATTAAATGGATATGATTTTAATGGAGTATCCACCAGTCATTGTGGTGGGGTGGTTGTCTTTGTGACAGCTAGTCAGTTGTCTTTTCCCATATTTCTGTAAAATAATTTTATTTTGACAGAATTTATTTTTTGTTACTCTGTATTTGTGTTTAGAGAGTATTTTAGCTAACCCTTTATAATAAGTATAACCATGTTTTGTTAGTGCTATTTAGGAATAAATGAATAATAATCTCTATGTCTTAGCAGTATTTATGAATGGCCAATGCCTCTACATCTCAAGGCATGCCTTGGCAATTTTCACAACAAATATGCACAAAACATACAATAATGAGGCTTATGCATTATGGGCTGACCTCATTGCTTATGCCTTGAGGCTTAGGTTAGGCTTACACAATTTTGTGTACCAGATTTTTATTAGGTTGGACACACTATTTAAAAGGCCAATTTTTGTTTTATTGCTTTGACTGATGTGGATTGAGATGGTCAGGGCATGAACTGAGGAGAAGTACGGATGCCCCAATCAGGAGGTGTGAGAAGCTTGTGGCAGGGGCATTAGGAGAGGCAGACGACTAGCGGTAGGCCTAAGAAGAGTTGGAAGGAGGTCGTTAGACAAGACTTACTATACGAATTAAGTATCTCATTGAGGACATGATCTTATATAGGGGCGTATAGGGCCTAGGATTAGGGTGGTAGGATAGGCAGGCCATTGGGTCTTAGTTCTTAGTTTTTGCCTGTGTTCTATTGTGCAGTAGTTTGTAGTTTCTGCACATGTATTTGTTTTTAATTGTGGTCTTGCTTTGTCTTAGTGCCACTTCCTTTTGTGGTTGTGATAATTTTGAGCTTGGGTTCTCCTGAAAACACCTTTTCTACTACTTGAATGTAGTAGGGTTAAGGTATTCACACCCTCCCCAGACCACACACCGTAGAATTTTATTGGGTCTCTTGTTGTACATTGAATGAGGTCAGGCTAGGCACCGGCAACGTTTTTGCGGCAGCCAAGTTCTTCAACTTCTGATTAGCGCACAATTTTTCTCTTTTTGTCACGTCAATAATTTACTTTTTATTGTAAGTGTTACAAATAGCGAGGTTACACACACCTGCTGGTTTCGGTCGACTGTTAGGCTGCTTCATTCTTGTAATTATGTTTGGTTTTTTAAATGTAAAACACCCAGTTGCACATAAAGTCCGTCAAAAATATTTTTGCTGACACTATTTTGCCTTTCTCTTTGATCTTGAGAAGATACAAGTGGCTTGCATCCCAAATTTCAAACCGCTACATTGTGATCATCCTGTTACATAATTTTAAATCTATTGAACCTTAAACTTTATCTGGTTTGACAATATTTCATGCTAATCTGTCTTCCCAATCAATATGGACTTTCTTACACTTTCTGAATCACAATCTCGATCTGCAGGTGAGGATCATTGAGAGGGCCATTGTGTATCGGTGGTCGAAGAAAGGAGTTCGGCCCATCAGTCACAAACTCGTTCCAGATTGCCAGCAATGTGTGAAGGACCCACCAATTTAGCTAGACTGCAGAAGTTTCATTTATGGCCATTGAGGAGAAAACCCATCTAATTAGCATCTGTAACTTTCATTTTTGTCTCTATTATATTGGCAATCTGTATATGGGAAAAGCCCGGAAAGGCATAAATAAGAACATTTCTTTGGATTACAACAAATACATTTGCAAAGCTGCTAATATTTTGGGAGTTGGCCAGACCAATTAAATACGGAGTATAAAAAATCTATGGATGAAAAAGGCAAGCAAACTACCTCGAACCTCAACTCTTTACTACACTATTGGTAAAGGGAATTGACTGATGTAAAATGTCACGTTATGGTTGGATAATTATTGGGTAAAATTAACGATTTGCACATAAAGTCGAGATCCAGTATTCTAACCCAAAAGCTTAAGATGATAGGCTGGATTACACCTTTCTATATATGGTAGTGATGTTCTTCTTTATTTTCTGATGTGGGAAGTCCATCACTTGCATGTGATTAATTCGAGCAGAAGGGATAGTAAAAAACCATATGTGTACGTACTCCCGCGTTGCCGTTGGATTAAGGAGTACGTACTATATACTTCGCAATACAGTAATTGAATGGGATTGGCATTTGCATCGTCTTCACCTACCTCTGTCCCGACTATTTAATACCCTGCTGCACATTTTTCGTCAAGCCATGCATTTGTCCTCGATCAGTTTTACAAGTGTCTTTCTCTTAGGGATTTCTTTAAATAAATGGCATGCTGCTGCATTTAAGTATAGGTTGGTTAGTTAACTTAAATTTTGTTACTGTTTCCGAATTAACCAAAATTAAAAAAATACACACAAAAAAAATAAATGGTTGTTTATCAAATAATATTTGTCGTGCATTATTATGATGGATGATGAGTTCGTTGTTGCATATATACAACCAAATTAAACATGAGACAATATATATGTATATAATGGTCAAAAGCATTTGGGTTTGTGTAGGCTTGAGGCAGGTGGGTGAAGGTGCACGTACAATATAGTGTAAGGTTTAATGAGTTACTAGTAAAATGAAAGAGATGCATGGCCATAAATGCACATGCAACTAACCAAATAATGCACGCACCCTCACCTGCTTATATTTACTGCACTCTCAACTCACTAGGTAGCTAGTCTTTATATACTGTCTATACATATACCCTTCCTTGTAACAGAAAAAAATGAAAATGGAGAGGAGCAGCAGGTGTAGTACTGCCTTCTTCTGGTGGACTACAATGGCTGCTGCTTTGCTCTCTCACAATTTGGTCATTGCCATTTCCACTACTTCTCCTCTTTTCACTGACCAAAAGATCAATAGTCGTTCTCCTCATCCTAAAGCTGCAACTCCTCCAAACACTCCATCTCTTCATCTTCCTCTAGAAGCTCTCAAATGTACATAACGCCCGGCCCGCTCTCATGTTTGTTTCATTATTATTTTTAATGTATAAAAAAAACGTCATTATATCTAATATTTGTTGTTGCATGTGTGACAGGCAAAAGCTCTAGCCCGCCATCTTATGGTGGCGGCGGTAGCTCGGGAGGAGGGTCGCCGCCTTCACATTGTGGTGGTTCTGGGGGGTCGTCGTCTCATCGACCGCCTTCGCATGGTGGGGGTGGTAGTTCTTCTGGAGGCCACCACGGGGGAGGGTCGCCGCCGTCTCACGGAACACCTTCACATGGGAGTGGAGGCAATAACCCCCCGTCGAACTGCGGCAACTCACCTGGTGGTGGCCAGAGTCATCAGCACCATCACCATCATGCTCCCTCGAAACCCAAGTCACCTCCTTCCGGTGGCGGCAGTGGTGGTAGTGACACCCCTGGATCTCCTCCTTCGGGTGGCGGTGGGAGTGGCACTACTCCTGAATCTCCTCCTTCAGGTGGCGGTGGGGGTGGCACTACTCCGGAATCTCCCCCTTCTAGTGGCGGTGGCGGCAGCGGCGGATACTACAATAGCCCTCCAACTTCACCATCCATTGATCCAACCCCACCCACACCCTCTACCCCAAGCTACACTCCAACCCCAAGCACACCCTCCATCCCAAGCTACACCCCAACCCCAGACCCACCCTCCACCCCAACTTATACTCCAACCCCAAACC